TATGTCAAGGACATTTTTCCTTCCCTTCTCATAGCATTACAGTATTGCAGATACATTAATCTAACAGCATCTTTACTACTTCCTTCACCACTTCCTACGTCATGGACCTTTCCATTCTCATAGCATTTTTTGATTGCAGATACCTTAATCTAATTGCCACAAACAGTCCCCACACTCTGCACTGCCAGCCTTTACTATTTTCTTTACCACTCCCTACATCGTGGACCTGTTTCCTTCCCTCCTCATAGCATTTAAGTATTGCAGATACATTTATTCAACTGCCAAAAAACGGCTCCCACACTCTTCACTGCTCGCCTTTACTACGGTAGGTACTTCCTTCACCACTTCCTACGTTTTGGACCTAGGCCTATTCCTCTCCCTACCCATAGCATTTTAGAATTTTAGATACATTAATCCAACTGCCACAGACACAGTGGCGGATCTAGAACAGTCGCAAGGGGGGGGGGGGCGAACCGGGGGTTGAGGGGATTTGGAGGTACCCTCCTCGGAAAATTTGTGCAAACTAAGTCTCCGAAATTGCAGATTTATACCATTTCTTTGTCCAAAATTAGTGTGACAAATTATTTTATGTGTTATTATGTTTTATTATTTATGTGTATGCACTACTGTATCATATGCAATAAAAATACATAAATGTGTATGCACGAGGGGGGGGGGGGTAGCGGTCGCCCCCTCTGGATTGTGTAAAAGTTGGCCAAAATTTTAGGTAGCCTAACTTAACATTTTTTTTATTTGCTCCATAACCAAAACCGTAGGCCTACAAAAACACTTCAAACGGCCCTATACGAGATAATTGTTTTTTTTTTGGCTCTTCAAAATGAAGGGAGAAGTTAGGAAGTTTTTGGATTCAAGGGTAAAACGTGAGAAACCTTTATTTTTACCCCATAAAACACCTGTGTGAATAATATTTTTAGCTTTTGGGACATCAAAATGAAAAAGTATATCGGTCCAAGACCTAGGTCTTACTGCACACCTAGGGTAATATTCCCCTACTTTGGTTTTTTAGAATATTTAGCTACTTTGCTATAGTGAAATTTGCTAAAAGCGAGTCATACTACTTTTGAGGGGAAAACTTCCTTTTCAAATGTAGCCCAATGTAAATAAAATGAAAGGTGTACTTAAAATTCTCTTTAAAGAAAGGTAAAATTAAAAAAAAATTTATTAAAAGATCAAGTGTATAGGAAGACACAGGGCAGTATTAAGTTCAACTGCATTTTATAGAGCTACGAGGGCAGTCCATAACTTTAGGTCTCCATCCAGCTCCTCCGTCGCAACCAAGCAAAGATAGTTGAAATCTGAAAACAGCGTCTTGTTCCATTCTAGCCAGTTCATATTCCAAAGGAAAAGTCTGGTGTTAAAAGACCTAATTAAAAAGAAAATGAAAATTGATACTCAGTCTAAAAATATGAATCACACTCTGTGGTTACGTTTTCTGTAGGTATGAAGAACCGACACAACTAAAAGTGATGAACGCCAGCTTCAAGTCCTGTTGTGCAATTATGTAAGTCTGGGATTTTAGACGTTGTCCAAGCCCCTAAATGTACATTTTCTACGTTATTTTCTACGTATACATCAGTCAACTGGCAACAAGAATCACCTTGACTTCCTTTCTAAAAAAACTTAACCAAAGAACTAGATTCATACTTGGAAATGGTCAATTTTATTTCTATCCAGCTACGGTATTTGAAATATATATATATTTTTTTTATAAAAAAAGAGGTTGGTTCTTTTAACCTTGCATTTGCCCGTCCACATAGACTACAGATCTGTGCGTGGAATGTATCCAGCAAAGCAAGGGGTGAGCCGGTACAGTACAAAGGTGAACTGTACTGATAAAAGTTAGTGACAGTGACCAGGATCCGAACCCACGACATCGCTGCCATGGGCCCAAAGTCCGCGACGCTACCAACGACTCACTCGAGGTATTTAAGGTATAAAAATAGTGAGTAAATGAAGTAGGCCTAAGAAAAACTACGATGGTCTCAGATTTGACATAGCTTAATCGGTTGCTAAGAGACCTCGCTGGGGACAACCTAATTTATTTACCGTACTTACAAACAACATTTGTAACTTAGAAGCTATCTGCCAAAGAGTTGTAAGTGGAAGCAATACATCCAGATAGTCACAGATTGTCTGATCTGATAGTAAATAAAAAACTTAAAAATTACGGTACCTCATAAACTGAAAGCTCTTTCTTGATATGAACCCCTAAGGTATCTGAGTCTATGTCTGACATGTTCAAAAGAATAGGTTAGGCTGAACGCAGACCTGAAACAAAACCATGATTTAGGCTAAATATATTTACAGAAAGTGATGAAAATCATGTTAAGCTGGAGTAGCCTAATCTAGACCCTTCAGTAACTTAACCAGCTTTCAACCATCTAAGTTACGGTACCTAAAAAGATTGTAGACTAAATTAGATTTGTGAAGTTTGTAATTTCACAATAAAATATAGCCTACTAATGGTACAAAAAAGAACAATTCAATTGTATTACTGTAATGTATCAAATTGAAATAAAATACTTACATGCCAAACTTGCTTTTCTTTACTAAGCTTAACTTAGTTAAAATCAATATCAATATATGGGCAATATCATCAGAGTCACATAAGACATTTATTCATCATTTTTTACATATGAAATGCATAGATAGGTCAAAATGTTGGTAAATACATCTTGTATTCAGTCTTGAGTAAATAAATGTATAAATATCTAAATAACAAGGAATTCAGTTAATACAGTCGATATAATACAAGAGTTAAAATTAAAATTGAGCGACGAGCAAATAAATAACACAGGCCACAGCGGTAGAATCGTGAATATATCTCTCGTGGGCTGCAATCACGGGGACATCATCAGTGACACCCGCGACCGTGGCAAAATCGTGAACATCTCCCGTGAGCCAAAATCACGACGATTTGATAGTTTTAAAAAATATTTTGTTATGCTCTTGGAAAAAAAATTACTTAGTCAATCGATTGTGGCTCTAGGCCATGGCCTAGTCGGTCTAGTCTATTGGCAAATCCAGCACTGAGGGATGAGCATCAATAGGTCAACCATCGATGTTTACCATTGGTAGTAACATCCGTGTCGACCACCAATGTAAGTTACCGGATACTAATAATATCATTGCAAAAACTTTAATTTTTTTGGGACTAAAACATGGATTTTTGTTCAGTTTTTCATCTGATTTTAGTACTCTTCAGTAATAAAACTTCGATAGGCCTATCTCAAAACTTGGCCAAAAAAATCCATGTTTGACAAAAACATTCACTATTGATACTCATCCTTACTTTGCATTCTATTTACATAGGCCTATTACTAACCTATTTCTGAACATTCTAGACTTTTATTCTAAACCATTCCTACTATCTTAATAAAATACAAAATAGACTACCCTTAAAACATTTTTAAGGCGGAACTCACATCACTGTTAATTGCGAAAATAATAACTGTAAAGGAAAGTCCACTTACGGATAAGTTGTGATGTTGTAGATACATATAAAAAGCAGATAATTAATAACAACAAAGTATTACATTTTCATTTATTATAAAACTTTACTTTGCAGAAGATTTAATTCTAAGGATCAGACCAGTGTCAGTCGTGCCGTGCGTGGCGTGGCGTTGCCGTTCGTTGGGGGTTGGGTTGGGAGCCGGACGGAACACCAGCACATCATGTTTTGTTTTCCCGTTTTCTCGTTTTCTCTTTGTCTATTGTCTCGTCTAGGGCCTACGTCACAAAAAGTAACAAGTGTCAACAATCGAACAAAAGTCATGTCAAGGTCAAGAGCCTAGGTCTTAGGTCAAGTCAAGTCAAATAAATGAAATTCGAACATGTTTTTTTCCTCTTCTTAATGCCACAGTAGTAATAGTGATGGCCTTGATTAATAAACATGAGGCCCCAATGTTCACTTTTTGTTGTTATCCGCCTTCTTTTTTTGTTTAATTTTATACTTACAGTATCAGGAGAATGATACTGACACATTACATTTTGTTATTTACAGACATAAATTTTGAAAGTGAGCACTGATTAGTTCTGATATATATATAGTTAGTTATAAGGAAAAGGATCTCTAAAAGGAAATTAGATGGGTATGTATTTGGGAGGGAGCGAAAAGGTTTAGTCTTTAGTCATAGATAAAATCATAGATAAAACATAGTCCCATAGTAGATTTGTCATCCTTATATGGAACAACTTAAGCCAATTTTATTGTTAGTTCTGTACGTCCATAGACAACAAGAATAATTCTGTCTATGGTAATTCCAACTGCAGAGGTTATATTTTGTTTGTTTCTTGTTATTTCAGTCATTTAAAACCTAATTTAACCAAATAAAACCATATAATCACAAATAATAACTCATCCTCTAGCTATATAACCAAATAGTAAAGCACAAATCATGACAATAACCCTAAAATAATATAAACAAAATTTCGTCTTCACCAGCGATTAGTGTGGACGTACATGGACTGAACACGAAAAACAAGCTTCAACATTTACATTGAATGAGGAGTCTACTTGCGTTTATTTATTTATTTCTTGTTACACCATTTAACAAGAAAATCAGTTCTTATAAATCTTATAAAGAGAAAATTTATGTAATAGTGTCTTTGCGACAAATGGCAGGCCGGTACACAAGTAGAGAAAACAGGAATCAACAATATTTCAAGGGCAAGAAACCTCAAAACAGATTTAACAATAATAATAAACTAGGAATAAGTTAAAAATACAGATTCGCAAAACAAAAACAGCATAGCAACATAGACACAATAACAACAACAATGACAATAACAGTTCAGTGGAACTTGAGTAAATAAACTTAATAAAAAATTTGTATGTCGTGATTTACTTGTTTTTTGAATGAGTGGACCAGAAATCTCGATTATTCACTTCGGTTCTGAAAGCTAGTTTGAGTGGACGTGGTTTGGCTGCCCAAATATCGGGACGTTTTCACTCCTTGTTTAGTGATGGGCACACACGTGAAAAACAAGTTGAAATCAGTTCTTGGTCAGACTTGACTCTGCTCGATGCTGTCACTGCTGTTTTCAGGAAGTCCATGGAAAAGGCTGCCAGCCTCTTAAAAAAAGACGATGGAGTTTCTATGCTTTAAGCAAAACCCAAACCATGGTCATCAGTGGGAAAAAGGTCAATCATCAAATCTCAGTAGGAAATAGCCCCTTGAAACAGGTATCAACATTTAAATATTTAGGCTCAGTTATCGCAGAAAACGGAAAAATAGAAGAAGAAATAAACGGAAGGGTTGCAGCAGCAAGTCGCCTCTTCTGGTGCATAAGAAACCAATTTCTAGGTAAGAAATAAATCTCAAAGAAAACCAAATTAGCAGTCTATAAATCTACCTTTGTGCCTACCTTGACACCTATGGATGTGAATCCTGGACTTTGACCAAAAGACTCAAAAGCAAGCTCCAAGCAATGGAGATGAGGTATCTTAGGAAAGTATAGAACAAAACTAGAAGGGATAGGATAAAGAATGCTGCAATAAGAAACACTTTAGATGTTAAGCCCTTAACTACCACAATACAGGAACAGCAACTAAAATGGTTTGGGCATGTTCACCGTGCCCACAACTCGGCTTCCGAAAATGATGAAAGAGGTCAAAGTCGAGGGAAAGTGCAAGAGAGGTAGACCGAGAAGGAAATGGGAGGAAGAGATAGAGGATGCTCTGAGTGAGAGGGGCAGCTCCATTCGTGAAGCTCTACAACTCACTGCAGACAGAAAGGGGACCGCGCCGAACTTGGACAACGACACACGCGGACAACGTTAAAGTTGGACAGATTAAGTTTCCAGGGTTGTCGTTTGCGTGCAACGTTACCCTTGGACACATTTGAATGTGTCCAGATTCGTCGTGTCGTGCAACGCCACCCCTGGACAACTTAAAAACTTGTCCAGGTTCGTCGTTTGCATGCAACGTTAAACTTGGACACATTTGAATGTGTCCAAGGGTAACGTTGCACGCAAACGACAACCCTGGACAACTTAAAAACTTGTCCAGGTTCGTCGTTTGCATGCAACGTTAAACTTGGACACATTTGAATGTGTCCAAGGGTAACGTTGCACGCAAACGACAACCCTGGACAACTTAAAAACTTGTCCAGGTTCGTCGTTTGCGTGCAACGTTAAGCTTGGACACATTTGAATGTGTCCAGTCTCGTCGTGTCGTGCAACGACGAATCTGGACATTTGTCTTAAGTCTCTTGTTTTGGGACTTGACTGTACATTCTACCTGTCAAAGTCCATTGTTTGGGATTTTGACCAAGGCCCCACTAGAAAAACACGCCATGCTGAAGGTTCATGACGTCACACTAGTGGATAGA